CAAATGATAGCCTTCGAGGAGGCAGCAGTATAAGCCTTCGGCTTGTCAATGTTGCCACTCATCAATGCATACTTGGATGATAGTGTGACACCGCACCCGAACGTCCTTGAGAATTTGATTTTAGAATTCAAAGTTTATGTATTGGATTTCTGATTCCCAAACAATTGTAAAACGATTGTTGTTTTACGTAATTCATGATCAATTATGATACCGCTCGAACTCGTACATTAGTGTTGGGCTTGAGGATACTCGTTTGGGCCTTATTAATAAATAAAAGATCCAAACATTATCTAAATAGTTATACATAACGTTTCAAGACAAGTTGAGGAAGGGCGGGCAGTCCATACATTATTTTGGGCTCAACCCGCTAAAATAGCAAACATTTGAGGACGGCGTCGTAGGCCCACTCGGGGGCGACCCACACGGCTTGTAGCCCAATAATATGAATGACAAATGTCAAAATAAGCGATAGGATGATTAAAGAAGAGTACAAATGCCTATAACCCCATCTTTGGCATTATTGAGCCAAATAATGGGAGTAGGATTTTCCTTCTATATTATCCATCAAGTAAGTTATTGAGATGAGCCTACACATATTGGAGATCAATAGTGTTATGTAGAAAGTTGACTTGTTCTAAATAAATTAGGATGAGTCCAAAAAGACATCTTTGACAAAAGATAAAACAATAGGACCCATTCTTCCATTTTTGGATGTATTGATTAATGTTTTGCTCCCAAAAATAATGGGGGAACACATGCTGCGCCCCATCCCTTCTTTTCCACCTGCAAGACAAGAAAAATAAGGTTAGGAGGCTGCCATAGTTGACTCTAGGGGCTGAACTTGACAAAGGAAACAAAAGGGAACCCCACCTAGTCTATTTTCGCTCATAAGAGTGGTGCTGGTTGTCTCCCTTCATGAGTGATGTTATACTCGGCCAAATGAGGTGTATAAGGTGTCCTTGGATAGCTTTTGAAGTCTATTTTTATAATTGAGTGGTCTCAGTTCGAGAGGAGAGAGTAATCATCCAAAAATCGATCTGGAACGAGCAGTGGTCTGTGAACTCGAGCTGTGAGAGTGCTGAGACTGTTTGGTTGATATCTCGAGTTTTACCAATCCAATTAAGGCGTGTGAGATACCAAAAGAAAGCTCTCAAGACGAGGAATCCGTGAAGGTCTGGTTTGCATCAATCGGAGTAGAGGAAGGCTTCCAAATCGTCCGAGCAGAACGCGACCTCGCAGGGACGGATTTACTCTTCTAAGTGAGTTTTTAATCCCAAAACCTTTCCATTCATTTTCCAAATGATATGAACGATTGGTGGGACTATTATACAATACTCCAAGTGTATAAAACATCCCTATTAAGTTATTTTATTGATGTAAAGGTTAGATACTAACCTAGATGCAAATATTGGAAAACTAGGAATCGAGTTAGCCGGAAAACACCCGTTCTAGGGGCTGTTTTCGTATCAACGATTAGGGGTTGAAATAGCAACTTGAGGAGGCTGTTTAGCACCCATTTCTAAGCAAGGAATCAGTTCTCAAGCTTCCTTGGCCGAGGCTTTAGCCATTGGATCGAGAAGGAAGGTTTTAAAGCTCATTTGAGGTGAGGATCGACATCTAGTTGCTTACAACTTGTAGGTTGAGCATGAGATTACCTAAATGCCTAAGTAATGTTTTTCATGGATTATGATGATAACCTATTGATGGAATATTGATCTATTTTCCAAAGAATGAAATGAGAAATGATTTGGTAAAGTATTGATGAAAATGGAGTTAAATGAACTATTATGTGAAATAGGCATTCTACTCATGTGTGAATTGTGTAGATACATAAATGATTATTTATGTATTACATTGAATGATTAAGTTGCTGCTACATATCTCTAAATATGTAGGGTTTTACAAATGGAATATATGATTGATAAGAATAATCTTAATAGTATTGAAATACTAGTTAACGATTGTTGTAATTGTTGAAGAATTGAATCTAAGGATTTGATTGTAATTGATGAACTTGATTGTGATGCAAGTGACTAAATTGATGTAATGTGATGCTAAGACCATGGTTGGGCAGTCCGTAGGGATGTCCCAAAATAGATTATTGATATTACAATTCTAGGCATAGTGAGTGCTTAGGAATTGGGGTCTATGCCAATGTAAGGAGATGTACTTGAGCCCGTGCTCATAGAATTGCATTGGGTAGACATGATGAGGTGATTGTCGTGCATGGTGATGTAGTTGAGTTGGACTCAAGAAATGCACGGTGGAGTAGTTAGCTTATGTTAATAAGGGTGCATGGTGATGTAGTCGAGTTGGACTCGAGAATGCAAACATGTGTGTTAGGGTTGAACCCTATGTATTGTTGTGACTAGGGGTCACGGGATTTTGGGGTATGTTTGATAAACAAACCTTGGGCCTACGGGCCGACTACTTGACTTTATATGTAAAGTAAGTATATTTTAAAACGGGGTAACTTGGGGTTACGGCCTAGATTATATTATCACCCTATTTTGAGGGTCTTGTGTTTGAAATACTTGTTGTATATCTATTAGATGCCATCCACACCAGCACTTTATAGCCCTATAGAGTGCTGACCCCTTCGGGGGCGTCCCACCACCATAATTCAGGTTGAGGCTAGAGCTTGCTTCCTGTGCTCGTTGCTCGAGGGATCATCTAGGAGGGAAGACTTGGTTCGTGCTTCCTCCATTCAGTTTTAAACATTAATAAACATGCTCATGGATATTTTACTATAGAGCCTGCGTGCTCATGTTAGCCACGCGTGGCATTTGTTTTCAAACTATGTTTTCCGCTATGTATTCGATTACTTATTATGTTTGTTTATGGATGGCTTACGTGTGAATGATATTCGAGACGCCTTGTATAACATGAATGTGTTGGACTGCGGTTGACTATTCGTATTGTACGGCGGGTTGTTGACGTGTCCGGGGAGGTCCGGGGCGTGACAGACAGCCTTCGAGCAAGCAGCAGTATAAGCCTTCGGCTTGTCAATGTTGCCACCCCTCGGGAGCTCATCAACACATCATAACTCCTTCAGCCCGAACTTGCCTTCGGCCTAAAGGAGTGAGGGATTGGGATACACCCCTCGGGAATCACACATGACTAAAAACAAAAATTTCCACATGCAAGAAATCTACAAATAACACATGTCGTCCTCGGGTACATACACCATTACACCCTTCGGCAAAGCAGAATGTCAGAAACTTTCCACAAAGTCACTGACAATGATGAAGCAGCCTTCATCACAACACATACAGATATCATTTACGCTTCCCTCAAAAAACCCTCGACATGTGGGGGACTGAGGGAAGCCTTCGGCTAACAGCAAAAGATAAGTGATCAGTCAAAGGCACCCAACAAAATGATGAAGCCTTCGGCTACGCGAGGGGCCTTCGGCTAAACGGACTCAATCATCGAAGATTCCCTTTGGAGACAGCCAACCACCGCATTTAATGCGACGTCACATCCACCCACCGCATTTAATGCGACGTCACATCCACCCACCGCATTTAATGCGGGGAACGTGCGATGGCCGGTGCCACCCCGATTGATGTGACCCCTCGGCCGTTGGATTACTGACACGTGTACTCTCATCACATTCATTGCTGCTATAAATAACAGCCCTTATTCTCCTTGTAAACCACGCTGAGTTCATTTAATAAAATCGACTCTCTCTCCTCCTATTTTGCTCTGACTTCTCTCTAGTTGTTCCCGCAATAACCCCTCGGATAGGACACCCCCCGGGTAGACTATCCATCAACCATTTTATGATCTCTAAAAGTCACATCTTGATCCATTATTCTTATTTTAGTGAGATTTAAATTATTATTTCCATATAAAACTAAAAAAAGTAAATTTTAATTAAAAGATATACCCAAATTGTCATCAAAATGGGTAAATAAAAAGTACAACTATTTATGTAATAATTAACTTGTTGAAGATAACCACATAATTGTTTTTTAAAAGATTAATGTTTTTAAGGCAAAGATTTTCATGAGTTGCAACTTACAAAACTTTAACGGAAGCACTTTCATCCACCAAATGTATGTGTTGAATATAAGATAGTCTTCGCCTTTCCAATTATGACCGTGTTTCACAATGGATTCAGGCATAATAACCCGGTTCAAGATGTTGTGCATGTTTGGATCATTCGAATTCTATTCACTAGAAATGGAGCCCAATAGAACTCAATGGTTACATTAAAATCCTACAGAAATCCCACACAGTTTTAAAAATATTGTCAATTTTATAAAGTTATTTTGTTCCTAGATTATAGTTAAAGTAAATAAAAGTCATTAAAATATCATTCAAAATAGGGGAATGTTTACTTAAAGTATGCTTGTGGATGATATTACTCCCTTCGTCCCGAAAAGAAGTTCCCACTTTCCCTTTTTAGCAATCCCAAAAAGAAGTTTCCCTTTCCCTAAATGGAGAGTTATTCTACATAAAAACAGTGCAAAATAGTGTAAAACAGTGTCGAAACAGTGTCAAAACAGTAAAACTTATCTCCTGGTAAGTTTATTTCCTTAATATGTGTGTAAGTCAAACTGTGAACATCTTTGCGGGACGGATGTAGTACTCCCTCCGTCCCAATTTGTTTTGCAAAGTTAACAATTTTTTGTCAACCAATAATAAAAGTCAACACTCTATATGGATAATTAATTCAATTTTTAATAATTAAAATTTACATATTCAAAAACTACATTTAAATCTCTTCAAAGTTTTAAACTCCAAATTGGAATATAATTGACATCCTAATTAAGTAAACAAAACGAGACTGTTTGACTAAGAAAAGTCAAATTTGCAACTCTTTTTGGGACGGAGGTAGTATTAAATTAGAAAAATTACCAAAATAGAAGTAAAAACATTTGACAATTCCAAAACAAGGCGATCAAACATTTTAGAACTACGGAGTATATTATACTTCCTCCGTCCCGAAAAGGTTTGTCAAATTTCTTTTTTTGGACGTCCCAAAAAGATTTGTCATTTCTATTTAAAGTGAGGAATATGTGGTCAAAGTTATTTCTCCTTCATCTTCACAAATTTCAACCACACAGTTTTTACTTTATTAATACACGTGAAAGTCAAAATTGACGAACCTTTTCGGAACGAAGATAGTACAATAATTATTGTTATTTAATACTACTAGGTAAATAAAAACATGACAAGAAGTGTGGCAAATCTCGCCCTTTAATTTGTATTGATGGCATCTTCAACAAACCGGGCTAGGGATGTGGAGGATGAGCCGCCCTCGGCAAGTGCGAGTCTGCTCTTTTCACCCAATTCCTTGGCCTTGAACCGTACCGGATTGAGAGGATCCATAAGCTGCTTGATCCCCCTTCCAATCTCCTCTGCCCCCGTAACATCTGTACTCAGCTTAATCTCTACTCCCACGCCTATCTCCTTCACTAATTGGAAGGCATTGGCTTCTTGCTCCGCCGCCTGCATCGGCCAAGTCGCCACCGGCTTTCCGAACCAGAGGCTCTCCAGAGTCGAGTTCCACCCGCAGTGCGAAACGAAGCCTCCCACCGCTCGGTGGGCCAGTATGGCGGTCTGGGGAGCCCACCCATTGACGACCATCCCCACCCCCGCCGCTCCCGTCCTCTCCAAGAATCCTCCGGGAAGGAGCAGAGTTCCCCGCCGGTCATCATCGCCCGCTGACCGGAAGGCCCACAGGAACCTCTGCCCGCTACGCTCTAAACCGGCGGCGATCTCCTTCACCTGCTCCTCATGGTCAGCGGTGAAACGAGCCTGGCTTCCGAAGCACAGGAACACCACCGAGCCGTCTTCCTGCCTGTCGAGCCATTTCATGATCTGGCGGCGAGATTCCTCCTCCTCCCCTGCTTCCGGGCCTTCCGGCGGCTGCAGATTTAGGAGCGGGCCGATGGGGTAGATGGGCGGCCAGCCTGGTTCGTCACTCAGGGTCTTGACCGCTTGTGGTTCCAGTTCAAGGAACGTGTTGACCAGGACCCCTTTGGTCCCTCTGACCCGTTCGGAGATGCCGAGGAAAGTCTCCAAGGAGTTCTTATCCAGAACAGGAGGCGGCAGGCACCGGGCAGGAAACGGGTATGCGTAAGTGGGGATATTCAGGAACGGGTCATTCAGATTTCGATCTTTGATGCTCTGGAGGAAGAAAATGAGCCCCAGCGCCGCCGCACCGGAGGAGAAGAAGACGTAGGCGGGTATGCCAAATTCATTCGCCACGTCGACCGTCCCCGTACACAAAAGGTCAACGACGAAGACGAGTCTTCTGAGGTCGCCGGAGGAACGGGTCCCGGAAACCCAGTCTCTGACTTGAGGTATGAAGGAGTCGAAGTACATCTTTGCTGCCGTCGCGGCGGCCTGCGGCGGTAGCGTGAGAGTCACAAACTTCAATCTCTGGCTGCCGGAATACTCATCATCATCGGTCGCAGTAGTCGTTTGGGATTGAATGTAATTGCTGGTTTGAGCATCGAGAGACGACTGTTGCTTCAATATGAGGACGGTGATGATAAGATTAACCTCTTCCTCTCCGCCGCCGCCGTTTTGCTTGCTCAAAACGCGCTTTGCCATTTCGACAGCTGATACTATGTGACCCATAATAGGCATCGGAATGAAGACTAGCTCCGTTGCTTCTTTCATCTTCTTAATTTGGGTATCCGTGTATACACACTATACACTCACTCACTGTAATTAAAGATTGGTACGGAGTATGAAATATGAATAAGAATGGAGCTTAGCATATACGCATATACTGATCGAGTTTGGATTTACACAGCAGAGGTATAGTGTATGTCTGTTTATATATGAAGTTTTATGCTACAAAAAGGTGGAGTAGCTCACAAAAAGTTGGCATACGTACTTGATACGTCTGTGCTGAGATTTTTCAGATTTGAATTATTAGAGCATCCATATTATCTTCAACTTTACCGTTTTTCATGGCTTATTATTGTCATGTCACCTCCACATAAGATAATCTTAAATACCTCCAACCGAATAAATTTCTCCTCATTCATGATCTTAATTTACCTTGGATAGGAGCATGAGCATGCACGAACTATAATTACCTTGGATAGTCATCACCATAATTATGAGTATATGCCTAGAAGTTGGAAATAATCTCAAAATAATTCAGCTTTAGAATTTGATACCAGATTATTTTATCAAATAATCTCATAAAATAATCTCAACTCCTCATCCATGATCCCACAAAAGATCCTCCACATCATCAAAATGATCTAAAAAATAATCTATGGATGTGGATGCCCTTAGTGGGCATCTGAGATTTGAAATTGGTGTCTTGCTGCCAAATTGCTTGTGTAGATCAAAAATAAACTTGACAATTTTCTTTTTGGACTGATCAAAAATAAAGTACACGCGTTTACTTTTGTTAAGTTTTAAATATAAAGTTACATTTATACCTTTACTTTATTATCAACTTTACAATCACTTTCTCTCCTCCACTACACTTAATCTACTTTTTGCAGGAGTATGATGAGAAAGTCAAAAGTGGAATTCCAATTTCTCAAAGCCATAAAGTCAAAATGTGAAGTTTATTTGGGCACGGAGGGAGTATAAGCAAAAATATATCCGTCCTCGGGCGTGATTCATGATTGATTGGCATCGGCTCTGGCATTATTGGTCGCTGCTTTTGGCCAGTATCGCCACAAAGTGGTTGAGCCAGAAATTTGATTTACAGGGGTCCAACTGTCCAAGCACAAATGAATTATTTGTATATACTCCGTACTAGACACAATACCTGTGCGATGAATGAGTACATCTCGAGCCCAATAACAAATTGTTACTCTCTCCGTCCCTAAATTAACTTTCATTTCGCTTTTTGAGAGTCAACTTAAATCACACTTAAACTCTTATTTTATACGGAGTATATCAAAATTTTATAAAAATTAAATTATTTTTTTGCAAGCTTTCTAGTGTGTTTAATGTATATTCTGAATATGTGAATTTTATTTACTAAAAATAATCTGAGTTTTCACAAGGATTATTTAACTTTATTACTGGTTAAACTTCATAACCCACAATTGGAAGTTTTATTAGGGATGAATGTAGTATAAATTAACTTTGATTATGATGATACGTAATGTATAATTATTTTAAATAAAAAATATAGTAGACCTTATAAGCTTTAACTTTGATTATATAATGATAGTTCATAGAAAAAAGATAATGTTGATCATATGAAAATTGGAAGCTAATTTAAAACAAATGGTAAGATGTAAGAATAAGTACTACTACCAGTCTACCTCCATCCCCACTAAGTTTGGGATAAAGGGGTGTGATTTTTAAGAAAAAATAGAATTATGTAGTTAATATTGAATTGATAAAATGTGTATAAAATAACACTGAATTATAATCATTATTATCTTTCCATAAAGTTGATTTAAATAAAGTTGGTTAACATGTGGCGCTGATCAGTTCCTATCAACCCTTCCAACTCAGGGTGGTAGCTAGGCAATGAAAGGAATTTGGAGTGTGCCACACTGTCAAATGCTAGACGTCCATCTGATGATGAGGGAGATTTTTTTAAAATGAGTTTGTTTTAATCATATGCACCCAATACGTATACTTTGTTTGCAAACAATGCAAAAAAAAGAAAATCACTTCCCTGCTTCTGACTTAAAAAAGTTAAAAAGAGTGTTTTCAAGTAACAATTTCTATTTAAATAAATTAAAAATTAAAAGTTAAAATTTAGAATCTGCCTTTTACTTTTTCTATTACACAAAATCTATTATTAATCACTTTTTCCCAAATCACTTAAAAAAATTAAAAGCACTTGGGAGTAGTGGTTGCAAACAAACCCGTAGTCAGGAGTGATGTGGGCCATATCGTTTCGGTATCTATTACTTTTGCAAGATACGTAAAGGTGTAGTGCGAAAATAAAGAAGAAGGAAAAATTAATCTTGTATATGCCAAGAACTGCGTACATCCTTTTTAATATAGCCGCATGGCTTTTCATTCAAGACACGGCTCTCCCTAAGCCAAAATAAGAAAGAAGTCTAAAAGGAATAAACTTCCTAAAATACAATGATTTAGAGAGAAAATAAATAATCCAAATAAGTAAATAAATTAACTCCCAATACCCCCCCCCCCCCCCCCCTCAAGTTGGCGCATGGGGATCGAGAATGCCCAACTTGCTCAACAACGTCTCAAAGTGAGTTTTACCGAGTGCTTTTGTAAAGATATCGGCTAACTGGACAGTGGTGGGAACATAGTTGGGAGCAATTAGGTTGTCACGGATAGCATCACGAATGAAGTGGCAGTCAACTTCAATGTGCTTGGTGCGTTCATGGAAGACAGGGTTATTAGCAATATGCAGGGCAGATTGACTATCACAGTAGAGAGGAATAGCCTATGGATGTTGAACACCGAGACTCAAAGGAAGAGCCTTTAACCATTTAAGTTCACATGTAGTAGCTGCCATAGAATGGTATTCGGCCTCTGCAGAAGATCGGGCCACAGTAGTCTGTTTTTTAGATTTCCATGAGATAGGGGAATGACCTAGAAAAACCAGCCACCTAGATATAGATCTCCGTGTAATTGGGCAAGCCGCCCAGTCTGAATCACACCAACCGGTAAGAGAAAGATCACTATCAGCTCGAAGTAAGATGCCCTGACCAGGAGAGCCCTTTAAGTAGCGAACAACACGCAGAGCTGCTGTCCAATGTTCAGCTCAAGGTTGGTGCATGAATTGAGACAGAATGTGAACTGAGTATGTAAGACCAGGACGAGTAACAGTCAAATAGATGAGCCTACCAATAAGGGTCCGGATGATACGAACCAGGAGCATTACCAAGAGTGTGATTCTGTTTTATGGGAAAAGAAGCCGGTTTGGCACCCAGAAGGCTAGTTTCAGCAATAATATCAAGAGCATATTTACGCTGGTTAAGAAAAATACCAGAAGAGCTGCACGCTACCTCGATGCCAAGAAAGTATTTAAGGGTACCCAAATCTTTCATATGAAAGCACGCATTAAGGTAGTTTTTAAAACTAGCAATAACGTCAGCATCATTTCCAGAAATTAAAAGATCATCCACGTAAACTAACACATTAGGCTGAAGTTTGCCACGTGTTAGGGTAAATAAAGAATAATCAGCATAAGACTGGAGAAAACCATAGCCTTTGAAGGCAACCACTACTTTGGCGAACCAACATCGTGGAGCCTGTTTAAGCCCATAGAGAGATTTATGAAGACGACATACCAAGGACTGATCTGCGGTGGTATAGCCAGGAGGAATCTTCATATATACTTCTTCTTGCAAGTCACCATGCAAGAATGCACTATGAACATCCATTTGATGCAATTCCCAATTCTTACAAGTGGCAACCGTAAGGAATGCCCGCACCGTTACCATTTTGGCAACTGGAGCAAATGTCTCTGTATAATCCAAACCTGCAACCTCTCGGTTCCCAAAAATGACCAAACGTGCCTTAAGGCGTTCAACAGTGCCATCAGATTTATGTTTAACTTTATAAACCCATCGACACCCTAATGCACGTTTTCCAGGGGGCAACGACACAAGACTCCAAGTGGAATTCTTTTCAAGAGCTTGAATTTCGGCACGCATGGCCTGGCGCCATCCATCATGCTTCACCGCATCAATAGCTGGTTCGGTAGTCGAGTCAATAGCTGCCAAGTAAGTCGAATGTTTTGTAGAAAATTAATCACAAGTAACATAATGAGTTATAGGGAACGACATACCCGAGGAGGATGACAAAACGAGAGAAGCGGGAGATGGACCGTTTTGCACAATAGTATGAGTGACGTAATCCCGAAGACGGGTAGAGGGCATGCGTGGGCGCTGTCCCCGCGGCACTGTTACGGGCTGGTCATGAGATGCCTGAGAGTCCGCATGCACCTCCTGGAAGGTGTGTGAATCCGTAGCAGAAGAAGTAACAACCGGGACATGTTTTGGAGCAACTTCATCATGCACTACTGGATATCCATGATTATCCATGTGATCATAATGCTGGAGCAAAATTTCTGATGAAGGATCCGTTTGATCCAAGGGCTCGAGAGGTTGTGCAAGAGGGAATATATTCGCAAAAAATTTGACATCACGAGACACGAAATATTCTTTGTTCTCAATGTCATAGACGGTCCAACCTTTCTTGCCAAATGGATATCCCAAAAAAATACACTTTCTACTCCGGTTAGCAAATTTATCTCCTTTTGACTTTCAATTGAACGCATAGCACAGACAACCAAAAACCCGTAGAGATTTATAGCAAGGTGGCGCACCAAACAAAATCTCATAAGGGGTTTTATAATCAAGAATAGCCGATGGGGTGCGGTTGATAAGGTGTGAAGCCGCGAGTACACATTCTCCCCAAAAAGAAATCGGTAAGTGCCCCTGAAATCTCAGGGCACGTGCCACATTTAAAATATGTCTGTGTTTGCGTTCAACACACCCGTTTTGTTGAGGCGTGTCAACACAAGACGTCTGAAAAATTACGCCACTACTTCGGAAAAAATCCTTCAGGCAATTAAATTCAGTGCCATTATCACTTCGCACAGTAACAATTTTCTTAGAAAATTGACGATCAACCATAGCAACAAAAGAAAGGAACATTTTCAACACCTCCTTTTTATCAACTAATAAATATACCTATACTGCATGGGAGTAATCATCCACAATAGTCAAGAAATGTCTAGCACCACACGAAGAAGGGGTATGATAAGGACCCCATAAATCACAATGCACTAATTCAAAAATAGCACGAGTTTTATTCAAACTAGTAGGAAATGAATCTCTCGTTTGCTTTGCCCTAAAACAAATATCACAAGGTAAACTGCTAGCAACCTTCAGACCACTTACGGGAACTAAGTGCTCAATAACTTTTGAAGAAGGATGCCCCAATCGTTGATGCCACAAATTAACTTCAGATTCCTTTAAGTCTCTGACTGCCAAGATCCGCCGCTCACCCGTTCCAATCAGCCTCTTCGAGTGACGGTTCTGTATAACACATAAATTACTAGTGAATTGAACAAAACAATTTAACTGATCACTTAATTGAGAGACCGAGATAAGATTGCATTTTAACGCAGGGACATATAGAACATTATTTAAATAAAATTCTTCAAATAATTCTACACGGCCTTCCTGCATAGCTTCCACCGTCTATCCATCCGGTAGACCAACTAAGCAAGGCTCAACCGATTTAATTTGACACAAAGCGGCCAAATTTCCGCAAACGTGATTTGTCGCCCCTGTATCAATAATCCAGGCATTATGATCAAATTTACATGTCATGCGATCATTAGAAGCTGTAGGGTTACCGAAAATGGTCAACAAGGATTTCCATTGCTCAGGCGTGAAACCAGGCAGCGACATCGATTGGTTGCTACTTCTCTCACCAACTGGGGAAGCTTTGTTCTCTGCCGCTGAATCAGCCACCGCTGCATGCGCTTTCATAAGAGTTTTTCCACGCCCCGTTCCAGAGCTTGAAGACTTGCCGCGCCCTCCTTCTTTGATACCCGGTTTTGGTCTGTCTCCCCACCAGTCCGGGTAACCGTTAAGTTCAAAACAATTAGCAATTTCATGACCGGAGTATTTGCAATATGTGCAAATTAACCCGGATCTGTCTGTCTTCCCTCCGCGTCCAAACCCCTTGCTATCTGTTCGTACGGCAAAACCCATAATATCAGGTCTTTCTTCTTGAGTCTGAACAGAGCCACACACTCGTTCTTCTTGCATAGCTTGTTGATAGGCACGGTTTAAACTAGGCAGGGGTGTTTGAGTCAAGAGCTGCGAGCGGGTAGGGCCCAAGATATCGGTGTACAATCCCATAAAAATTGATGAAATCGTTCTGATTCTCTTCGTTTTTCATGTTGTCCCATTACATCACATGTACACTTACCGCATGTACACGCAATAAGTGGTTCGTAATTATTCAAGCAGCAAATACATATAAATTTTACCTATTTGCTGCGTTTTTACTAAGAACCGCAGCAATTGGGTAGCAGCAAATAAGAAAAATTCTAGTAGTGAAGTCATCCCACAAGCTTTGAAGTTTAGCAAAATATGGTTCCAACCGGCATGCCTTTAGTTTGCACACATCTCGCCAAATCGGTTTTAGTTTGATGTATGCGTGGTCCGTCCGCAGAAGAGAACCGTTCTTTTAAGTCTTCCCAGAGCTTTGCGGCATCTTCATAGCGTGCCAAAGTGGCCTTAACACCGGGAGCAATAACATTCAACAGCCACGACACAATCATTGAATGTATCGTAAGCCAATCATCTTCGGTGCAAGGCGGTGCCGGTTTTTTGAGAGTTCCGTCAACAAACACAAACTTACGTCGCGCACGTAAAGCCAACCAAACAGCATTAGACCAATCATCGTAATTGTTTCATGTAAGGCGAACCGAAGTAATAAAGTCTCCGGGCCGATCTTGAGGACCCAAGAAGTACGACGAAGAATAATCAATCTTCGCCGCAGTGCCGCCAGATGTTGCACCGTCATCATCGTTCGCCATGCTCAAGGATCGATCAAGAGAGCTCTGATACCATATTACTTTTGCAAGATACGTAAAGGAGTAGTGCGAAAATAAAGAAGAAGGAAAAATTAATCTTGTATATGCCAAGAACTGCGTACATCCTTTTTAATATAGCCGCATGGCTTTTCATCCAAGACACGGCTCTCCCTAAGCCAAAATAAGAAAGAAGTCTAAAAGGACTAAACTTCCTAAAATACAATGATTTAGAGAGAAAATAAATAATCCAAATAAGTAAATAAATTAACTCCCAATAGTATCAGGGATGCCCTGGACTCAATAGTAATTATACTAGACATAAATATTAACGGGGTGGCTAAATGTGGAAAATGAAAAAATATACACTAAATTTTTTAAAAGTTGTCCTAATGTTTAGCCTACCATAGCCTGTACATAGATCCTCCCTTGTTCGGTACCAAACCCCCCGTGATATAGAAATTTGGCGCATTAACCCTCTATGCTTTAAAAGTGTGTCAAACAGCCTTGCGTTTTAATTAATTATGCGTCAAATCCCTTCTGTGAACAAATTCAATTGTTAAATAGAAGAAAAATGATTAACATTTTTGTATGATTCAGAGAATTTGACATATTTACTTGCATATTCAATCAAAATATTAGAAAAAGTGATTTCCAAATCGTTAAATTTATTCATAAACGGGGTTCTGTGCATGATTAATTAAAACACAAGGAGGTTTGACGCATTTTTCAAATCACGGGGGACTAATGCACTCACTTTTTATATTACAAGAAAGTTTGATGCATTAAACCCCAATATTTTATTAAGATTTTTTTAAACAAATAATTAATTAGACATTTTTTCAATTTGGAGACAAGGGCCTAATATGGCTCCTAGCTCCACCAGTGCCTGCCAGTGGCGGATCTAGCCCTTATAATTTGAGTGTTCAAACTAACATTAAAATTATTTTTCAAATGATAGTATTAATTTATGCAAGAATTATCCAAATGCATCATTTTCAATAAAAAAAAATACTAAACGGCTAATAAATTATAGCAACATGTTTCTAATAAAAAAAAATACTAAAATGTCAATAAATTAAATCAGTACACCGTTTTACTTTTCCTACTATTTTTTAAAAGATCTAAATTTCGTTGCTATTGGTACTAAACGGCCATTTAATCACTATGCTGAGTATGCTATAAAAAAGACAGCTCACACAGGATAAGATTTACTGATTTAAGGAGATTTTTCTCTATGCTAATGTCCAACATGGTTAATTGAGGCGGTGAGTTTACCATTTGTTCGAGTACCACAGATCCTAAACTCAAGCATTATTCTGCCATTCATCGTCTACTTCACACACTCGGGTTAGGGTAGATATTTGGAGCATAGATTGCTAAATAAGGGTGAAAAGATTGAAATATTTGCAGTGGCACTCGAATACGTGCGAGGATTTGGGCATTTGATTTTATAGGCGGACTGAATCGGTAGTCTCAGGATCCAATCTTCAAAATGACGCTAATATTATCAAAATGCAGCAAAGATCCTAATTCTAGTTACTGGTTCTTGAAAATTCAGGGTGTTCAAGTGAACACCCTTGAACAACACCAAGTCTGCCAATGGTGCATGCACCCTTAGACTACATCATCCTGGTACGGTCAAAAAATTCCGCAACACATTCTTTTTCTACATTCCAATAACATCAATAAAATCAATTCAACATATCTTTTTTATACTTCGTATTTTTCTTCTTCTTTTGGTTGCTTTTCCCTCCCCCTTGATGTCATTTTCTTTATTCATTTCAATAAAATTTTCTTTTCATAAAGAAAAATTACTATAAGCAAGGTTTTTCTTAGTTTTCTTGTGAAAAATACACATTCAATGTCATATAAAATGAGTTCAAGTAATGTTCGGTTATTCATAGGAGCACTATATATTAAAAATTTGTATTTCATGCGTTTTGGCCTAAAAATTCCAACACCTGGGACTTTATATTTTTTAAAATGTTTATATATGCAATCAGGGCCGAGAAATCTAGGGCCCTGTGCAAAGAAAAAGTTGGGCCTTTTTTTCCCTAATGACCAAATATCACTTTGTTAAATGCAAATGCAAAATTAACAACTTAATAACCCTGAATTTGTTATACTCAACTACAAACTATCTAATCCTTGAAATCCATTAAGAATTACAGCAATAATACAAATAAAGAAGGAAGAACCAGACGATGGTCAAAGTGCAACCCGGATCCGTAGCTACATGTCGCTGACTCGCAATCAATAGCTCGATCTAGAATCGGCGGCCGACCTATACTCCGCCTCTAGGGTTTTCATAGTCTCATACAAATTTTACTTTTAGCACAATAATAAACTATGGCATTTAAGAGCCCCAAAATCAAATTACAGTGGCTTGGCACAAAGTGGACAAGATAATACTAATGAATTTTGACTTGCCGCACAAACCATACTTAACAAAGCCGCCATGTAGATTGGCGACTCTCTCTTCTCTACTACAATCGACATTTGTATACTTGAATTCAAGATTTGGTGCAAGGGGATGAGTGTAGGAGTTAGTCTACTTGGACCACTTCCACTTGTCAATTCCACGTCATCTATAATCCTATCAAATCTACTTGGACCAGTCTCACTTGTCAATTGTGCATCGCCTATAATCCTATCAAATCTGTATATTTTTACTTTTATTTTAAATTTCCCCTTTACTAAGATAAACATTTAGGTGTAATGGATACACAATTATGAAATGACAAGATGTACTAATTCATAACTACATAAATGTTTTTGCTGTTTTTTATATAATGTTTTCTTAATTTTGTTAATAAAATATATTTGAAATATATTTTCAAAGTACTCATTAGATTCCAAATTAAATTAGTAAGAATTTCATAAATTTATCCTATGCAGTGAATTTCGGTTTTACTCCTACCAAATAGTCACATAATATGAATATTGAGATATATTTATGAAGCATTTATCTCTACAAACTCAAAATAATTAGGGAGTGTATATTATTCAAAACTTTTGGTAGAAAGAAAGCTGAGATTGAGAAAATATACTCCGTATTATTCTTTTAAAGGAAAATGGTAGATCTAGTCCAACAACTTTTTTCTGTACTCGCTTTTAATCTAGTAACTTTACCCACTTACAAATTTAATCCTATAGTCAGAACATTTTTTCTTACTAAAGAATATTCCAGTAAATAGTACATCTCGAAAGTTATGCACGACACATCTTTACGGTAATGTTTTTTTGCCAAGTGTACTTTTGGTCTTTTGGATGAAGTCTTAAAACCGATGAACTGGAGTATTAATCTAGGAAAATTACCAAAATAGAAGTACACAATTCCAAAACAAGCCTGTCAAATTTGAAAAAATATTATCACGCATAAATTTTGATATAATCAAAACATGATACTCCGTTATAATTACTGTTATTTAGTACACAAAAACACGACCCAAAGTGTGGCAAATCTAGCCCTTTATTCCTTTAATTGGCAGTGATGGCATCTTCAACAAACCGGGCTAGGGATGTGGAGGATGAGCCACCCTCGGCAAGTGCTAGTCTGCTCTTTTCACCCAACTCCTTGGCCTTGAACCGTACCGGATTGAGAGGATCCATAAGCTCCTTGATCCCCATTCCAATCTCCTCTGCCCCACAACATCTGAAACCTTGTTGGAACTCAGCTTAATCTCTACTCCCACGCCTATCTCCTTCACTAATTGGAAGGCATTGGCCTCTTGTTCCGCCGCCTGCATCGGCCAAGTCGCCACCGGCTTTCCGAACCAGAGGCTCTCCAGAGCCGAGTTCCACCCGCAGTGCGAAACGAAGCCTCCCACGGCTCGGTGGGCCAGTATGGCGGTCTGGCACCCATTGACGACCATCCCCACTCCCGCCGCTCCCGTCCTCTCCAAGAATCCTTCGGGAAGGAGCAGAGTTCCCCGCCGGTCATCATCGCCCCCTGACCGGAAGGCCCACAGGAACCTCTGCCCGCTACGCTCTAAACCGGCGGCGATCTCCTTCACCTGCTCCTCATCGTCAGCGGTGAAACGAGCCATGCTTCCGAAGCAGAGGAACACAACCGAGCCGTCTTCCTGCCTCTCGAGCCATTTCATGATCTGGCGGCGAGATTCCTCCTCCTCCTCTGCTTCCGGGCCTTCCGGTGGCTGCAGATTTAGGATCGGGCCGATGGGGTAGATGGGTGGACAGCTTGATTCGTCATTGAGGGTCTTGAGCGCGCGTGATTCGAGCTCAGGAAACGTGTTGACCAGGACCCCTTTCGCCCCTCTGACCCGTTCGGAGATGCCGAGGAAAGTCTCCAAGGAGTTCTTATTCAGAACAGAAGGCGGCAGACACTGTGCAGGAAACGGGTTTGCATAAGTAGGGATATTTAAGAAGGGGTCATTTAGATTGCTATCTTTGATGTTCTGGAGGAAGAAAACAAGCCCCAGCGCCGCCGCACCTGAGGGGAAGAACACATAGGCGGGTATCCCTAATTCATTCGCCACATCGATCATGACCGTACACAAAAGGTCAACGACAAAGACGAGTTTTCTGAGGTCGCCCGAGGAACGGGTCTTGGAAACCCAGTCTCTGACTTGTGGTATGAAGGAGTCGATGGGCACCTTTTCTGCAGCCTGGGACGGCGGTGTGAGAGTTTCAAACTTCAATCTCCGGTGGTGGGAGTAATCATCATCAGCGGCCGCCGTTGTTTGAGATTGAATGTAATTGCTGGTTTGAGCATCGAGAGACGACTGTTGCTTCAATATGAGAATGGTGATGATAACATTAACCTTCTCCTTCTCGCCGCAGCCGTTTTGCTTGTTCATAACGCGCTTTGCCATTTCGACAGCTGATACTATGTGACGTGACCCATAGTATTCATCGGAATGAAGACTAGCTCCAATGCTTCTTTCATCTTCTTAATTTGGGTATCCGTGTATACACTCACTATAATTAAAGATTAGTACGGAGTATGAAATATGAATACGAATGGAGCTTAACAAGCTTATATTGATCGAGTTTCGATTTACAAAGCAGAGGTTTAGTGTCTGTCTATTTATATACGAAGTTTATACTACAAAAGGTGGAAAAGCTCACATGCCGTTGACATTGGCGTCCGGGTGCAAAAGGTGGCATACGTATTTGATACGTGAGTGCTGATCCATTCTAGACTTCCTATTTTTTTCAGATTTGAAATTGGCGTCTAGCTGCAAAAGGTTTTGTGCAATTTCATATAAGCAAAAAGACATCCATCCTGATAGGCATGACATCATCTCCGGCATTATGGTCGGCCACATCCAGTATCGCCACCGGTGTAGAGCTGTGGATTCGAACGGCCAAGAGAGTTATGCATCGGACCAAGGTCGGCTAACTGCAACAGGTCTTGGAGATCGTCGATTCAGAGATGATTCAGCAAGGTGAAGAGAAAACATAGAGCATAAATAATAGTCACCCAAGAGAAACCATTGAAGTTCCTCAAGGAACCAAAATCACAGTGTAGAAACTAGGACTGCACAAGAATAATCCGAACCCGCATAACCCGCCCGACCCAATCCTACCTGATCACTTTTAATCGGGTATTTGATTTTTGAAAATATTCATGGGTTAAATATGTACGAACCCGCACCTAATGGGTAGAGTTGCGGAATTAAAATCTCGAACCCGATAGTACCCGACCCGGCCGAAATCTCAATATATTATTATCATGCTACAAAGTTTAGTTGGATAATATTTATATAAGACCAATGCGCTATATCTAAGACTATGATCTCTCAAAAAAAAAGACTATGATTTTAGTATTATAAACATTTAACGTTTTGACTAGGTGATTAGTATATATATATACATTTGTTTCTAAATTAATTTCCTTTATGCAAGAATGTTTTAATTTGATACTATTGACCTAAGTTTACTCTTATAAAAAGTACTTGTATTTGTTTGTGTATTTTGGAAACAAGTTAACCGAGATTCATATTGCATGCATTAGTTGCTCATATTAAAGATTCAACCTGAAATAAACTCCTTTCAATACCTGACCCTACCCGAACCATTCATGCATGGTTTACCAATGATGTGAGTTTTCTCGCACTTGAAAAGATTGTAGAATAGTGGTGTAAGTACGAGTATCGTCTCCACAGGGACGGACAAAAGGGAATTAAGAATTAACTAAATTCAGCGATTAAAAATAAATAAAATAAAAATGCGTCGTGCGAGATTGGTTGGTTGAATAAAAATTAAACTAATGCAAATGAACGATTAAAATAAAAGTGGTTTCTTCTCAATTAACGACGAAGGGAATAGGAATTGATTCCGGGGTAACCAGATTTCTGGCAGATCAGGCCTAATTACATGAATTTAATTTAATTGAGCCTAGCGAATCATTACTAAGTTCTTACCGCTCTCGCGGCGTAGAGTACAATAATTTAGGGGACCAGGCTGATCTCTCATGCGACAGGATCCTAAGTTATTGTCAAGACGAGCGAGCTTACGGCCCCTTAATCGCTACTAATCTCTTAGCGAACGATTAAGTGTGTGTGAATGTGTCCTAGAACAAATTAGATCTCTCTTAATTTATTCTACATGCAATTGTAATTCTAGCTGCAGTCTAGGTTACAAGAGATATCGATTAAATTATTCAAACACAAATTAAACGGCATTCATGCAATTAAACCGTCAAGAATCTAGCCATACATCATGATTAACCCCTTCATCAACCCCAAATCCCTAATTAAACTACTCACAATTCATAATTGAAGAATCAACAGAATTGAGATGAATAGAAATAATTGTCATTAATTAAAAAGATGAACTTACAAATAATCCCAGGGTCTTGGAAGAAAATAGCGTAAAAACGGTGTTAAATTCGTCCCTAGGCCTCTCCGTAATGTTCGTAACCCCCAAAAAGGGTTAGGGAGGCCTTATTTATAGAAAAAGAGGTGAAAAAACGAATTTGGGCCGAAATAGGAAACTTCCGCGCGTGTCACGGGGCTACGCACGATCGTGCGTCCCTGCCTACGCACGATCGTGCGTAGCAGGCAGAAGCTTCAACGTGAATTCAAAATGGACGCACGATCGTGCGTCCCAGACGCACGACCGTGCGTCTGACTTTTTCGCCCCGTTTTCTCGTTTTCTTGCTCCAAATGTGTCCAGACTCATCCGAGGTCAATCCCAATGCTCTTCCTTCTTCAAAATTTCGCCGTGAATCACCTGGTGACCTCCAAATCTCTCAATTCTTCCTTGAATGCTCTCTATCTCCTCCCGATTGTCTCTTTAGCGCCGATTGCCGGACTCTAACTTCTTCAAATCAACTCCAAATGCAACGAAACTTGATCCAACGCCTGCTAAACACAACTTGAGCCAAAATTGAGACTTGCAACGCCTTAAATCCAAGAAAATCATCAAAATCCGACCTGGACACGCATCAAATGCGTGTCTAAATACGGACTTATCAGACTCCCCCACACTTAAGCTTTTGCTTGTCCTCAAGCAAATCGAACAACGGGACTTACGATAATCACCACACGGAATTTAAAATAGTTAGCATACACATGTAGTTAAAGGGATATTCACAGGACAGACAGTTTAAATCAAGAAAATCCTTCCCTAAACTACGCCTTTGTACTCAAGCTAAACTATTTGACACAATTATTCACAACATCCTCAAAGTAATGACAGCATACATAAATAAACTAGTTATTGATCAGAAGGACTTGTGAAGGTGATGATGGATGGATAATAATAATAGTCCCTTTATTTTGAGAGATCGGAATATTCTAACAAAGACTCAATGCATTCAGGAACTTCAGGGCTATTCTTAGGATCAAGGAACTCAGTAGGCCACAATTTAGGAACAATCATTTAAACCTATTCAAAGAGTAGACATGGTGTACAACTAAGCTAAACCGTCTCGGCACATTTGTGCTTTGACGTATACTTGAAGTACGCGGAGGACTAAAGCTAAATTTTGAGATAGCCTCCAAGTTCATTAATTTAAGTTTAGTTTTCCTTGTCATGTTGGCACGAGAACGCCGTTTCTTTCGAAAGATACCCAAGTCTCATCTTACGCTTTTTGACCAGGGTTCCCATTCTCTTTTTCGCAAAGTAAGAGGTCTAGCTATATTAATTTTTCACCCTTCGGATTCTCACTAGACATTACCCCATTCTAATCTCGGCCTCACCAAGGAAAAATAGCAATTAAAGTTCATTAATTTTAAAAGTGCATCCATGCCTACAATGCAATCCTCGAAAGTATCAAGTTCCTAAAAAATGACTGCTCTTACCCCATTTGAGGCATAGGAACAATGCCAAAAATGGCTCCTACACAAATTCCCTAAACTTAACAAATTAATCCCCTAATTCCCTAAACATCAAGACTAAGTCAGAAATATTCACGGGTAAGGAACATAGGCCATTTGGCTATGGAGCTCAATTAATTGGGTAAACAAAGAACAGTCAGGCTCAAAATGGCTTCTCCTAAAGGACTTTATTCAGGTCAATGGGAAAACTGTTGATTCATTACATGGGTGACTAATGCCTTCATCCTTTCAACAACCAGATTATCATGCAAGCAATTTACGCCTAAACACTTCAAGGATGTCCTAAAAGCATAGTCAAAACGCTAGCCAGTTCACAAAGACACAGTTTAAAGAAAAATTTTCAAAAATTTTGCATGAATTTCCTATGAATATACAACTAACACCTGCGCATGCTAACTCTAACAAATCACATGTAACAACCACTGCCCGAATGCCCAATTCACTCCCCCACACTTAAACTTTGGCATCGTCCTCGATGACCAAAAAAATGCATTATGTACTAGGGGTAAAGAGGAAAGGGTCACGCGTGCTCAACATTAACTCAAGTCATTATCACAAGAATAAGAACCAAAGTAACTTCCCTATGGCGATGGTTGGAGTAGAACTCAACTGTGTGAAATGAACTCGGCAATTTCATCCACGGGACTAGTAAGCTGCAATCATCAAAACACAAACAAAATCCAAGAAATACGGAGAAAGAGTAATAGAGTAACGTGAGTGAGTGAGTGAGTGTGAAAGTATAGATACAGTCATCCAACAAAAATCAGAGAACAGAGGCTAACGGCGAACAATCTACTAAATCACTACTGCTCCGGAGGTGGCGGTGGCTGCTGTGCATCAAAGAACGAACTCCAGCTGGACTCTAAGGATGTGACACGAGTGTCCAACTCGGCGTACTGTACGCGCAGGTTGGAAAACCCGGTCGTAATGTCCTCGTGAATGGTCCGCTGGAGCTCTCTGTGGTAAGTCTGCCTCTCTGCCCGGACCTCCTGAAAGAATGCCTGCTGGTCCGCCCTCATCTGGCGATAAAGCTCCTGCTGTCTCTGTCGCTCTGCCTGAACATCGGCAAAGAAACGCTGCTGACTCTCAAAAAGTGACCTGTGATGGCGCTGCTGACTCTCCCTCCACTCGACATGATAAGCCCTCTGCTCCTCATGCCAACTCGAAAAAACATCCTGAAAAGCAGGTGGCATGACAGGAATAGAATGAGCAGCATCATGGTCCATAGCTGCTCCTCCCCCCTCAGTGTGGTGCTCCTCATCATCATCATCAACGTGGCCAGCTGCGCCGCCCTCCTGAATATGGATCCCCGCCTGATGCGGTACTCTCTGCTCTCCCTCAACTGGCTGCTCTGCTAGGCGCCTCCTTCTGGCCACTCCGGTGTTCAGCTCTGGAAGCTTAGTCAACGGCGCATAGTAAGAACTCTCATCCATGTTCACAAAGTGGTCGCCGTAACCCATCCCACGCAGAAGGCAGGTGATGTAGGGTCCAGAAAAGATAGCCTTGATCTTGTAGGTAGACTGACGGTGGAAGAGGCCGGCAATGATAGCACCCATGTGTGGTAGCTTGTTGTGGATCATGCAATAAAGGCACAAAAGATCTGTAGTGGAGACCTTGCCTGCTACCTCGGCCCTCCCAGTGATGGTGGATGAAAGGAGGGAATGGATAACTCTGTACGCCCGTGGATACAACAAGGTGCTAGGGGTGTCCCGGGGGTCATAAGTGCCGCCGTCTCTAGAAATGCTCTCCCAAAACCTCTGGCGGTCTACATCTCGTGGAAAATCAGTCAAGCCTGCTTCATTATCTGCTCTATCCTCAATCCGGGTAAAACCTAAGTGCCACTGGATGTTGTAAATGGATATGGCATGGTCCTCATTGAAGGCTCGGAACTTGATTAGGGGTCGGTGGTTATCGGAGAAACTGATAGATCGAGGCACCTTAATTGTGGCCAACACTTCGCAAGTTACTTCTTTGTATGTGGTCTCTCGAATGCCAAAGAAAAGGTGTTGCCACCATCCCCGACGGAGTAGCGTCATCACCTCATCATGAAGCCCAGCGGCTGTCAAGGTGGGCTCATCAGGATAATGAAACGTGCCCACCTCCTTTTTCAGCAAATCGAGGTATGTGATCATTTGTTCGTCCTTCGGGAATTGAGGCTGATATCGGGCACCTGTGGCCCGACTAGAGCTGGTGCCAACATTCTTGGTTCGCTTCTTTGGTGGCATCTGTTAAGACAATTCAACAACAACAACAACCATTCCAACGGGGCTTCCAAGTATTAGAATAAAACTCCAAATCAACAGTAATAACCCCGTCAGTAATCAGTCATTCAAGAGCATCAACATACTTATCAACCAATCCGAGTTTAACCAGAATAGTTGAAACTTTTGAACTTTTATCAAAGAAAAGTTCTTTGAATCAAGGTCAAATGTTTCAACGACACACGGTATAAACAAGGTCACAAGCAAAAATCCTTATCAAAACAAATGTTAAGAATGGAGTTCCTCTCAAAAGAATTAAAGAGATATTAGATTAGGGGAAGAACTCTCAATTCTCAAATTGGACACGTTTGGCCTAAAATTTGGGGATTTATGCTCAATTTAACTCAACAACAAGTATTCAACATCATAATCAACAATTCATTCCTTAATTGAAGCAAGGAGCACA